GGATATTAGACAAATTACATCAGTACCCCCCTCCCCCTTATGCTTTTGATATGCAGTGATGTTTATTTTTATCAGATATTATTTCCTTCAAGACTTGGTTCGTTTATATTTTGACAAAGTTTAATAACAGAATCAACACCTTTATATGTTTTGTAAGCCAACATTTTGTTAAGTTGGAAGATTTCAAATCTTATAGTTCCTGTTTAATTTAAAATAATAAATAAATTATGCTTGATATAAACCCGCTTAGGAGCGCTACCGATGACAATTTATAGTGTCTTATGCATTGATCTCTCTACTGAATTGGGTTGTGCATTGGCTAGTGTCACTGTATTGACACTTGACGACAAGCAGCTGCCAAATGTAATTGATCATACTGTGTTAGCCTAAATTGATTTTATTGTCGTCTGCTGCATTATAAATAATAGTGACAAATGTTGGTAGAAGCTTATACAAGTCTGCGGTAAAACAGAAATATTAATATTGAAATAGAACTCATCTATTAAGTGCTATGGTTGATTGTTTATCAATACAGCATAACAGTGTTATTTTGAATACCATATATTTACACAAGTAGGTTAATATAGTACATGTACTGTTGAACTAGGTAAAGTCACACTATGATATATATATATATATGCATTTTGTACATTTAATGTCATGAATTATAAGATAATTAGTTGATAAATGAGCTGAAAATTTATAAAGTAGTATTCGCTGCACTTTGGATGTTTCACGAACACTTTTATACTCCACGCAATTTAAAACTACTGACGATTTAAAATTATCTCAGAAAAGTTATTTCCATTTTTTCACCTGCAGCTTTTACGGATTGTTGTTTAGGAAGGTGATGAATATTTTTATGTAATACATAATTAAACACTTTATCAAACTGCAAACATGATTATTTTCAGGTACAATCAAACACGTTTCCACATAAACCATAAAAACAAAAAAACTCCATTCAAAATTACGTCTTTCAAAATAGCAACATGTATCCCAAGGCTAATTGTTTTTGCTTGAGGAAATTCGCAATTTGTTAATTTCAGAAATCTGATAAAACACGTTTTCCAAATTTCTAGAATTTTCATCTGTTTTGTTACATGTACCACTCATTGTCTCTGTTCATTTGGGGATTTTTTTGGTAATGGGTATAGCTTCCATATATTTTCTCTCTTTAATATCCTTATATGGGTGGTACATGCAACTAAACCACCACTCAAAAAATAACACATCATACCAATACACTTGACGCTATTACTTTCAGTTTAACCCTTGCGTAGTGTGGAGTATCACACAGTCTTGCAATTTGTTTTTAACTCTGATAGTAAACTTTGTATCCTTTCAATTTATAATTGTTTCGTAGCAGCTTCTATTTTCCGTCTATGTGTTTTTAGCTAATCATAAAACATATTGTAGTTCTCTATTTCAATATCTCATATAAGTAATATATGCCACATGTTAGTATAGTTGTATAGTTAATATTATAACTATACTATAATATTAGAATAATAGTGAAACAATGATAATAATCCATACATTGTTAGATACACGTTACAGCAGACTCGAGAAATAGAACATTACAAGAAGTTTTATAATTTAACGAATATTCTAATATCAAACAGTTGTGTATATCAACCCTGATGAAGCTGCAGATGTAAAACGTTGGTTAAAACAAAAACGTTCTTTTATAAATATCTGGAGTATATAGATCATTTGTTTGTTTGTTTTTAAACTTTTTTATAAAAATGTGTAAATTCCTCCAGTATGCACTACATATTTTGAAAGACAACAAATAATTGTTTGCTTTTTCATGGGATTTCATACTTCTAGTTTGATCGATATATTAGATGGACTATATTAACTACTGTGTTAGTATTTAGTTCTGATCTATGTGAGCCAAGCGTAGCTGACCTTGTGGTTAGTGTGCTGCACTGTGGATCCGAGGGTATATGGCTTGCACCCTTTTGGCGCACATTCCAGCTCCACACTCAGGAATGCGTTATGAGAATGATTGTTATATCCCCCTGTCTGAAGAGAGTAGCCCAAGAGTTTGTGGTCGGTGCTGTTGGCTCAGGTACCTTCCCTCTAGTCTATCAATTCAAAATTAGAAACGACTTGTGCATTTAGCCCTTGTGTAGCTTTGCGCGAATATCTAAAACAAACAAACTGAACTATGGGAGTAACTTGATCGTAAATAAATTAATGTCGCGTTTTGGAACACTTTCATTAACCACCCCACAAAAAGCGTACATCACGTATAATACTTAAACGAACGGCCTAAACATCACGTTATTGTAGCCTATATAATGTGTAAAGTTTAATATACTCGAATCCCTTATAGTGATGGCACACGAAGAGACACACATTCAGCATGTAATGTTGTTTAAATTCAAGAAGGGAAACAAAGCCTCTGTAGCCACGAAGAATATCAAAGAAGTTTATGGAAATGTTTTGAACGTTCGTAAAAGTCAACGATGGTTCAACAAATTTCGTTCAGGTGACTTTAGCCTTAAAAACTGTGATGGCAGGGCCGACATGTTATTGATGCTCTGAAGACGCTTGTTAGTCTAACCCAGTGATTCTCAACCAGGGGTAAATTTACCCCTTGGGGGTAAAAAATTACATGGCAGGGGGTAAATAATTGATGTACCCGATGATTTAATAATAATTCAATTAAATTTCATTTTGTAAAATGTGTGTGTGTGTGAGAGAGAGAATGCTAAGAATGTGTGTGTGGGTGCTATTTTTGTGCAAAACCTGAATAATATTTTTCTTTTCTGACCTTCTGTTTTTCTGTCCCTTTATGATGGCTATGAATTTTTTTGTATGGAAGTAAGGGGGTAAATGGAGAAATACATCAAGCCGAGGGGGTTAATGATGGAGGAAAAGTTGAGAATCCCTGGACTCTAACCCAAGGCAACACACTCGTGAAATTGCCCTGAAATTGCATGTTTCTCATTAAACAATACGTAAACATCTAAGAAATATGGGAAAACTCCATAAAGAAGGTGTTTCAGTGCCTCACGAGCTCTCCGATGATCATCGTTTCCAAAGTGTGAACGTTGCTTCGTCTCTTCACGTAATGTGCGTGAACCATTTTTGAACAGAATTGTCACCGGTGACGAAAAATGGATCTTCTATACGAATATTAAATGCCAAAAACAATGGCTCAGTCCGAGACAAAAACCACTTCCGACCCCAAAACTTGGACTCCATCCACAGAAAGTGACGCTTTGCATTTGGTGGGACATTAAAGGAGTAATTCATTTCGAACTCCTCGATCCACAACAAACTGTCAATGCAGAGATCTATAGTCAGAAACTGGAACGTTTAAATCAAGTCCTTCATCAGAAACGCCTTTCACTCGACAATCGAAAAGGTGTTCTTCTTCTCCACGACAATGCACGTCCACATGTGGCACATTTGACGCAACACAAGATTATGGAGTAGAGTTGGGAAGTTCTCCCCCACCCACCATGTTCCCCAAATATATCACCATCAGATTACCATCTTTTTCGTTCGCTGCAACACCATCTTAATGGGAAAACGTATACAAATGTGGAAGGTGTTAAAGAGGACATCGACATGTTGTTTGCTTCAAAGCCAAGTAATTTCTTTAATCAGGGCATTAACAACCTGGTTGTAACATGGAAAAGCATCATCGATAAGAAATGATACTATTTTTTTTACTAAATGTTTTGATATATAAGTTGTTCGGGTTTTTTCATCTAAAAAAGAAAGCGACATTAATTTCTTGACGACCTAATAAATTGGATGACGTAAGTGAACAAATTTGATGTAGTTTTTATTTTATTACTTTTTGGAATATGGTGTATTTGCCTAACTTGTTGAAAAAATTATATATATTATAATGATAAAGAATGTAGTGTTAAATAATATAATTACCTGATATTAATGTCTTATTACAAGTGTTATTAGTTGTAACTCTACATCGACATATTGGGAAAAGGCGTTCACATCATAACAATTGTTGTTGTAATAGATGTGTTATGTAAATAATATTCCAACCCCTGCTGATGAACTCTGGATTGAGCGAAATACATCGTCGACAATGGGTAAGGCGAGCGTGTTGTAGTCTAAATATTTTTATTGTACGCTATTCTAATCCTTAAAAATCCTCTGTTTACTATAATTAAATATAATGTCTTATACAAATGTATTTAATGTATCTTGTTTTTCTTCAGTTTTACAAAAATTTGGTGTAATATTTCGCTACATGATTATTTTCAATAGTGAGACATGCTTCTTGCAAATATTTTTTGGAAAAATGTTCTCCTTCATCTTGGATTTTATCGAAAAAATACTCGGCTTTCTCAACTGTATATTATTAAGTTATCGTAGCTGTGCTTAGAGCATAATACAATGAATAAAGAACGAAAATGAGAGGGTTGATAGGTGATAAAATCATCTTGTTGAGCTAAATTGTTTCTTGTCAAAGTAATACACACAGTGAGAAACTGTATATTATATGAATGTTTTATTACATATCACGACAAAAACAGACACTGATACAATTGTATCTGAATACAAGACCCCAAAATCAACCATCAGTATGGCGAGCTGTAGCTGTTTAAGCAAAACAGGTCGTTATGTATGTCGCGTTTAATAGAATAAATTCCATAGGGATATATATTCTACATAAAACTGCGACACCATCTTAACAATAACACTAAAATTCCGTTCTCCTTTACACTTCTCACCACTGAAACCGTTTTTTATATTTATACTAATGCTAAAATGCATATAATTATATATATACTCAAATGATTACTTCAGCCTTATAAAGTGGTCTCAAACCAATATCTTTACCTTGCTTTATGACAAAGGACTAAATTACTGTAATGCCCCATATTTCTGAAAACAATACATTTGCATAAGGTACAAGAAACAGATTCGATAATAATATATACTACGTTCAAATTCTGGTCTAAACTTGTTTAAAACATTATGGTAAAGTTTCGGTGTGCCTTGTTTACTTCTTAGGCGGAGGAGTAGCTGATCTCTTCAGATATTTTTCAGTTAAGGATGGAGCGTCTGGAATACCAATGTTATTGTTAAGACTGTAAAATTCACGTGCGCTAGCACAAGACACGACATCCTCTGGGTGAGCACAAGTTAGTGAAACGTGGTCAAAGACTGTCTGGTTTTCACAGAAGAAGCTAAACTGTAAAGTTTCTGTGGTTCCGTCTTCTCGAATCCTAGGCTCACAAATGTGGAAACTGTTGCAGTTGTTTTCTATGTCAGCATAGTACCCACACATAGTTGCAGTCACACAAAAACAGTCTGGAAGCTCGTAAGCAGCACGTTTCCTCTTTAAGAATAACAAATTAATACATGTATCAAATTCGAATTTGTAAGTGAAGTGAACAGGTCATTTAATAGTTTCTTAATTCTTCTTCAATCTAACAAAGAATTAGAGATATTTCTACTGTTGATAAAGTTTGGAGACTTTATTTTCTAAAAGTTACTTGTCATCCAATTTGAATTTTACTGTTGGCATTGCGATACCTAGGATTGCGTTAGGCTTTTCAGTTTGTTCTTATATTAAATTCACTAAAAGTTCATAATTAAATAGAGAGTAAAAATGGAAAAGAAGAACATGGTAGACGGTGCACTATAACGTTACAGTAAAAAATAAAGTTAACAACATACCATTAAGCGGCTACTAAGCAGGATACGGCTGTAAAACATGAAGAAAATCGTAGTTATTGACAAGTAAGATTTTTTCTGAAATCACCATTTTGATAGAGGTCATACATTTACAATGAACTGTAGTTTTATTTCCCACAATTAACAAAACATTTATTAAAATAGTGAGCTATCAAAGCATCTTTGGTTAACACCAAACGAGCGAGTTTAGTAAAATAAAGTATGAGATGTGAAGAAATAATCATGATTTTTAAAAGCATAGAAAAGTTAAAATTATCACTTGGAGTAAATACATTTCTTTGTAGAGTTAGACGAGTTATTATCGTCGTTCAATAGTCCTTAACCAGAACTAGAATTCTGCGAAGTCTTTATATTTTACCCTATCTTCATGCATTTGTACGTAAGAAAATCAAGTTTTATGCGCGAAATGAAATTTTAGAATAAACATTTCTTCGTCTGCCTGATCTTAATTTAAGTAATGTACATTTAGAACACTTCGATTCTTCAGTTTAAAAAGTAATACTAACCTATAAATACCACGTATTTCATTTTCTCTAGCACAACTTCTCAGGCTCCGAATTCACCTAAAAATAGTTTTAAAGTTTGGTTGTTATTTCTCTCGAATATTGAATATTTTATGAGATAAATCAATTTTTGATCTAAAATTTTAAATAAAAAACTCTCTAATAAATATTTTACAGTATACCATAGACTGTGAGAAAAACTAGCATTGTGAAAGTGTAAGTGAAAATCTTTTATCAAGTTTAGTGAAATAAATGGTTTACTAAAACATAATATTTTTCTATAAGCACTTAGTGTAATAGAAATCATCAGACCACTGAGAACTAGAGTATATCGAAGGATTTTAAGAGATAGATGTTCTGTTTTATCTTTGAAGTGTTTGGATGACCACGAAATACTCTCAGAAACATACAAATTCAACAATTCACAGCAAAAGTTGCACTACAAGTGCTGATTTATCAACTTACTCAACCGTGTGAATTTAGATTGCCATTGCTACATTGACTGTAGAAATAGTATCCTATCATCAAGATGAGGAATAACTCCTCTTATACGGAAACTGTCACTTACCTTGGGTATCTGGCACTGATAAAGCTTCCACGGAGTTCAGCTTTTATAGTTGATTTTGAGTAGGTGTAGTTAGCATGAGATATGTCAATAGTCAACAGTTGAAAATGATGGTTTAGATTTAAAATTTTGTTTTGAACCGTATTACTGGGAAGATATCTTGTTTGTTGGCCAAGGAATTGCTGGAAAGACGAATTTTACATAAAAACATAATAAATTATATTCTTGCGCAATCCAGGTGTAATCGTTAACTCTTGTTTAATACTGAAAGTGGTAAGACGAGTTCCTCAAGGACACCTGAAGAATCAGAGTTAATCTTACAAAAGAAGAACCCCACTTATCATCATAAGAACCAGACTCTTTCTCTCACTTAACCAATCAATGGATCAATATTTCAGATATTAGGTTATATTTTAAAATATGTAACTGAAACTTCTAGTATTTTGTTTTGTTTTTGTGAACCCTACAAAAAGAGAGATGAGAAGTAAATGTTTAAACAACGATACAAATGGCGAGTGTGAAAATAAATTGTTTTCTTAGCTTCGATAAATGTTGTCTTATTATAATCTTATTAATTTCTTTTCTTAGCTTCTATAACTTTTGTCTTATCATATTATTTTGTTTTCTAAGCTTTTATAAATTTTGTCTTATCTTGTTCTGTTCTAAGCTTATTCTGTTTTATGGGTTACATACTTGTACAATACGATCTGATTTCACTGAGAAAATATAACGCTAAAAATTTTCGATACCTGTGGTGGCCAGAGCACAGATAACCTTTTGATAAACAAACACTAAGAAAAAATAACAAACAAGTACAGCTACAACGTGGTGAAATAAGAAAATACAAATAAATTGTAAAATATCTGTACTACAAAACTAATTCTGTGGTCAAAAGACAGTCATTAGACAAAGGGTTATATAACCTACTATTTAATGCTATCAACAGTTGTATAAGCTACTAATGAATCAACATGAGCCGTTGATCAACCCACTACATAAGCCAACATGTAGATTTATAGGACATATTTCATTTGTTAACATCGACGATTATAGTAACAAATGTATAAGTTAGCATAAGGAATATATTACTCACTGCATGAGTCAACATGAAGGTTATATAATCTACTCATGATTCAACGCTGAAAGCTTTAATGAATCAAAGGCATGGTTATACAATCCACTATACGAAGTCCTACTGATGGTTATCTGGTCCGCTGCGTGAGTCAGCACCAAAAAGGTACATAATCTAATATTTGAATTTCAATTCTTTGATAAAATTGATCTCTACTTTAAGTGCAATTATAGTGTATTTTGATAAAATACCTCTTTACGATAATCTTAGTTTTAAATGTTTTGTACTAATTTGTCTAAAAGGTAAAGGATAGTGTAATTTGTTGATAAATATTTAGCTAGATTTTATGCCAGAGTTTTCTAGTAAATAATTATATTGTGATGACAGAGAGAAAACCATGTCGCTATGACGAATACTCAGTACTATGCTTCAAAACATGAAAATTCAAGAATAAGGTAATGTCGGAATTAAAAAATATATAATATATGTGTACATGGGTTCTGTGTTGTTGTTGTTTTTTGCCAATTATCGAAATAAATGGCTTTTACATATATTTCTTGATAGTATAGATATATACTATGTTGTTGTTGGGCTTAAGATTCTTCTACAGTAGATGTCTACGACTTGTTAGGGATAAATTCAACGATGAATAAACGGCACACACTTTACTTGTTTTTCAATAATATATATATTCGGAACAAGTTAAACGTATGTACAATAAAGTATTCACTCTATAGAGAATATAAGCATATTGTAAACGTTATATCAGTATATGTATAGTTCTCCTCTTCTTGTCAAAAGTCCACTTAGGCCTGTTCAATTACTTTAGAATATCTGTTGACAAACCGAACTATTTTCTTTAATACTATCGCAATATTAGTCCGGTGTGATTCACTTAAGATTGTGGTCTTCTTTATTCTGAAGATCCTATGTTCCTTTTGTCAAAGTGCACTCAGACTGATTCAATTACTTTAGAATATCGCTTTAACGGAATAAACTTATTTTTTCTTATTTTCTTTTCCACTGTTAGTTTCACTGTAATATATATTAAACGTTAGGCCTATCATTTTTACGTAACTTAACTTCACAACAACTATATTGTTACGTCTCCGTTTGTTAATTGATTTTCCGTAACTTCGTTCCGACGAAACTTAAGCGACACAAGTCCTTTCTTAATAAAACTGGTTTATTCTTTCCGAATATAACTTTACCGATACACT